AAAAAAAAAAGAAATATTTCTCAAATTGAAATAATCTATTTCCTGTGAAAAATGGTTAAATTATAACTCACTTATATTCTGGAATGCCTGACCCTAAAAAGATGTTTATGTAAATAGCATAAAAAATCCAAAGTTTCTGAGGACACACGATCTAAATAAAAAGTATAAACCAAGTTCTTGTTTTTGGTACCAGGGATCAAACTCGGGACCTTTAGCTTGCCCTCAGGCGCTTACGCTGCTGAGCTACATCCCCAGCCCCCAAAACAATTTTTAAAGACAGTATCAGCAAGATACCTTTATCACAGAAAATAATGGCAGTAAATATGCCTAAACTTGACAGTTTGCCATTTGGAAAGTTATTTATTTTGGTGGAACTGGGGACTGAACTCAGGCCCTTGCGCTTGCTAGGGAAGCGCTTATTTTACTGAGCCATCTCTCCAGCCCCAGAAAAGTTTTATTTTTTTATTTATGAATTTATAATAATGTGGTAAATGCAAATGGATTATTATTATTATTATTTTTTTTTTGTGGAACCAGGGATTGAACTCAGGCCCTTGCGCTTGCCAGGGAAGCGCTTATTCCACTGAGCCATCTCCCTGGCCCCGCAAATGGATTATTTTGAGACAATTTAAAAGCTCTGCTTTAAATGTTATATTGATGTCCTCAGATGGTCCCTGACTTATGATGGTTTACTTTTTTTTTTTTTTACTTTATGAAGGTATGCAAATTCCTATTCTGTAGAAACATACTTTAGAATTTTGATCTCTCTCAGCTCCCACGTGTAGTACTGCACGGTTCTGCCTCTGGGTGGCAGCGGCGAGCCACTGTGCCGCTTTCCCAGTCCAAGATTAACATCTGAGATCTTAGTGTGGGTGTTGCCAAGTAATTGTGCTACGTCAGGAGTATTGAATGTAGTTTTGACTTACAGTATTTTGAATGACCACGAAATTAGCAGGCTGTAACCCCACCATAAATAAGGAGTACCTGTACTAATTTGTTAAAACAAATAACCTGGAATAAACCCTGCGTTACGAGAATAAGCTCTTTATCACTAACCCTTATGCAAATTAGCAAGCAACTGAAAGGATGCACGTGAACATTAAATAAATCAACGAAGAACCGGTTTCTCCCAGGGTAGCTGGTCATGTCCCTGGGATTTGGGGGCGGTGTCTGGCGGTTCCAGGCACGAGGAGCTGTCTGTGCTCTCACCCAGCGACCTGGAGGGCGAGCACAGCGCGGAAGGTCTAACCCAATCCAGACAAGCATTCCCAGAGCTGCCGCCCGCCCCGGCCTGCCTGCCTGCCTGCCTGCCTGCCCCGGGCTCCTCCCGCGCCCTCCTCCACGGTCTCGCGGCTGGCTGCGTGCAGGTCTTCACCGGTCGGCGCTTTGATTCGGTTTAGCTTCATCACAAACATCCTTTCTTCCCAGAGGCCTTTCTGGACTTCTCCCCCCACTCGCGTCCCGATTACAGTTCCTTTATCTCCAGGATCACGCCACTTCCTGAAATTAGTCTGCGCTCTTATGGATCGGCTTGTTCCTCTCCACGCAGCACCTCCCACCCACTCCGTCCTCCGCGCAAGTGCCTGTAAGCCGGGTGTGTTTCGCGCCCCCACGTCGCCCCCAGCCCACGCCACCCAGCAGACGTTCAATCCGCGAGCACAAGCTGCCTATTTCCACGCTCCGCCGCTGTCGGCACACTGCCCACGGGGGCCCTGAACACTGCCGAGAGTCAGGAACTCCGATTCTACTCAGGCGTGTTCTGGTCTCACAGCACGGTCCTCCTTCCGGAGGCGACAAAACCTCTCAGTCAGAGTGACATGGATCTGGGTGGGGAAAACTACATCTAGGGAGAAAGGACTCAAGGCTCGGTGGCCCCGAGGAAACGCGACTTCCAGTGGACCTCAGTGCTCCGAGTTAGCCTGAATGTAGGTCTGCGAGCGCTGCCGCCCTGAGCTCAACTGTTTATAAAAGCCCGATGTCCGCACAGGTGTTGCGGGCGCGCTGACAATCACAGCGGACGAGCGAGACAGCTGGGGGACAGGTGGCTGTGCGCGAGTGCACGCCGGCTCCTCAGCGCACCGCCAGCTGGAGCAGCTCACGGCGAGGCCCGGTGGAGCCCCGAAGCGGCGCTGTGCTTGTGCGCGAGCTGCGGTTTTGCCACGCTCATGAGACCCGTGAGAAGCACCTCTGCACACCTGTCACGAATGCTGGTACTTCTCCCCCTAGAAATCCATTTCTATGAGCAAGGATTGAAAAAGACCCCGGGAATCACTCTTTACAAAATGTAACCTTCACAGAATTTCCAATATGAATTATTTGTATCATCCTGGTTTGTTAGTCACACAACACGTGCACCTAATATGCACTAGATGTGACTCTTACATGGTCCTATCAGCTGGACTTCAGGGAACTTACAAGATGATTTTAAAATAATCATAACGTTTTGCTTATTTTCTCATTGTACCCGTTTAGGTTTTCAGGCAGAACTGAGCAAAGATTCACAAACCTGTGCGAGGTGGAAGTTGTTCCTCCAGGTCCGGGGGGTGGCTGCAAATAGGGAGGGGGTTGCAGAGGAAAACTCCAGAGCTGTGACGAGGAGGACAGCGAGGCCAGACGCAGGGAGCACCTTCATCTCCTCTTGGTGGCTGGGTAATGACAGCAGCCCCGGGGACAGCACGCAGTGCACGTTTGCACGTCGACCCTGCGCTCTTTTATAGAGTCCAGCAGGCCCGGGTCCTCCAGTCAAGGATGATTCACGTCTCAGATGGTAATTACACAGCTTGTTTCTCTCCCTGATGAGGGGGTAACGTGACCATACACAGGAATGAGGGGAAGCTTCTTTCTTTGAGATTTACCAAGACATGAAAGGAGAGAAGCAGTTATTTTTAAGAAGTATGTTAGCTACATACACAACTTGGGGGAAACTCGATAGATTGGAACCCAACTCAACCAAAACCTTTGATTAACTTCAATTAGGGGCATCTCACTCTGATTATAGAAAAGGCCAATGATTAGAGAACAATTGAAGGAGAATATAATGGAGTACGGAGATCCAGTGGTTTCTGCATTCAGCCCGATCACCTGTCTTCTGCGTCCTCCTTGACATTTCTCAGGAATAAATACTGTTGATAATGGTGGCTGTCGGACGCCAGATCCTGGATCGCGATCGTGAAGGTACCATTATGCTCCACAGTGCTGACATAGGGCGGAAGGCGAACTGGTAATTGTTAGGAAGCTTTTGAATGAGCTAAAATAGGAGCTACATTTTAGGTAAGCAGAACACTAAACAGAACTATCCTTTCTTTGTATACTCTGGTTAATTGGGAAAATGAAACTCGGGAAACTAAGGATCATGCAAATATTCACATGGAAAGTTTTGTAACAATTACATGACTCAGAGTGATTCCAAGTTTTTTTTCCTCTACTAGCTGTGAATAAGATGATGTTTGGCCTAACGACAGCATGGAGAAATCATTTTGTGTGGTGAGAAAAGCACTCTGGAGTGAGAAAAACAGATTAAATTTTAAAATACTTCCTAGACTTTGGTCAAATTCTTTAGTCTTTGTGAGCAACAGCTTTTTCTAAATCTGCAGGTGATAGTGCCACTCTGGCTCATGGGCCCAGCTGGACGTGGTAGCGTGGTACCCAGCAGGCGCACACTGGTATGCTTGGCACCTGCTTTTCCTGGTTCTGCAGCCATTGCTGATGCCAAGAGGAAGTCACTCAAGTGTCACCCAGACAAATTCAGAATGGGGAAAGCATGAAGAATGCAAACTCAGGTGTTGCCTGCTTACATGTGCGAATGGTCTCAGGAATTCTTAAAGCCCCCACCAGAAAGTCCTTCACATTATTTGTGCTGTGCACACTTCAGGCATGCACACAGACTTCTTTATTTTTGTTTATGCTAAACAATTTAACAGTACAACATTTCAGACAAGGTGCTCTCCCAGGAGAACCTCCGCCGAGGGCTGATGATGCCAACTCCTGCCTCTCTCTGGTCAACAAGGCCAGCGGAATCTGAAACCATGCAACTTCTGTGACTTCCTCCCTTTTGCTGGTGAAAGCTGTCCTTGTCCCCTGGATGGGCAGTGGGCCTGTGGCTTGCCCTAGGCTGCCCACTGGATTATAAGCCTCTGCCCCTTCTCAAGTGCATTTTTGTACTTGGGAATATTTTTCCCCAGACATTGCATTTTGGCTTTGACAGTTCAAATCTAAACTGTGACACCTATGTATAATTTTTAAACAGGTTGATTTCTCTCTTTAAGCTGTACTACTTTCATCTTTGAAATTCTAGACTCTGGGAAGCTGAGCCAGGAGAGGCAGTTTGAGACCAACCTGAGCTATTTAACAAATTAGTGAAAATTTTTCGTAAAACAAACACATGTTTAGGATTGTAGTTCAATGCAAAGGCCCTGGATTCAATCCTCAGCTCTGCCAACAAAAGGGGTGGGAGCTAATGGAGAATCATATCACGACAAAGCTCTGAGCAAGGTACTCAGTAGACAGTACCTCTTATGAAATGTTCAGTGTCTCGGTGGCCATCCCGTGGCTGGCTGTTATTTTAATCAGTGTTTTGAATGGATTAATCATGATTACATCAATGGTTCTCCTGGTTTGTGGGTCGGCAGCAGCGCTGTCACCCTGGTGCTTGTAGCAAATTTAGATTCTCAGGACACGTGAGGCTCACTCAGGACACACAGAGACTCTGCAAACAGGACCCACTAGTCAGAGGTTTCACACGCTCCCTGGAAAGCTCTAAAGCATGCTACAGCAGGAGAACCACTGAATCAGTGAAACCAGCAAAATTGTGGAATGTGGAGCAAAATAGCCTAAAAGAGGCCAAGAACAAAAAATCTACAAAGTGCCAAGAACACTGCAGTCCAGAAAGCAGTCAGTCTACCCTTGCCTTCCGGGGCCGTGCTTTTCAGTGGTGATATAACCTAGCATTTGAAAGTTATTTGTGAATTCCAACTCCGTTGCAAGTAATTTATGAGCCATGGAAGGACATAAACACTTTCCCTTCACATTCAGATGAAGACGAAGGTCATCCTTACGGCTGCCTCTCCCGTTCTGCCTCTGTTGCCTTCTACTACATTTCCCTGCCTGGCCGAGGCTGAGATGGAGGTGCAGCTGGTCTGTGGGGTCTAGTGGTAAGAGCAGGCACTCGGGAAGATCACGTTAGCAGGCAGATGTCGTGTCTGCTATGGGCTGAGAGATGCGTCAAATATGTCTCAGCAAATCCCCCACAGCTCTATTAGACTTATTAAGCTAAATTACAAGCTCCTCAAAGATTCGATTAAAAAAGGTAATCAAGTCTGTTTCATGAATGGATAGATGTATAAAGGATGGATAGATGTGCAAACATAAAATTTGTACTTTTTGGTCTCAGGAACAGAAAAGATCACAATAATCTTTCAACTTATTTATGCTTTTATTTCTCTGCCGTCATAGAAGCTGGCGAGCCTGAACGAGGACTGAATCCTTGCAACTTCCTGCAGATGTTCATCTTTTCTCTGACTTACTATGTTCCTCTTCATTCCATTGGCCAGTGCAAAGGCAGACAGGGAGGAGGGGGCTGGACCGAGGGGCAGGAGGGTGTGGAATTCTGAGGGCAACAGAGAGAAAATCTCACTTCTGAGATTCTAGAGAGTGCCAAAAGCCCCAGTGTAGAAGGAACATAAATGAAGTGTGATCTAGGTAAGTGTCGTCCCACTATTCATTATTCTAATGTGCAAAAATACATTCTATAAAAGCGCTTTGTTCTTTGTTTTCTGTTGGTTTGGTACCCCTTGAACTCACGGCGTCTCCGCCTCCCACGGCGAGCATTTTGTTTTCAATCATATTTGCAACACGTAAGGAATGCGGTAATCACGGGGCTCAGCACAGGCCCGGCCCACGTGGTCCCTTGGATTTTTCCCCACTCCCACCTCCCAGATCCAGGCCCTCCATCTCCTTTCCATTTCTGTAACATCAACCTATCTTCTAGCGTCTATCTTTTATTCTGTGCTTTAGATCACTTATACTCTGAGTGTCTAATAACAGATAGAAATCATGAGGCATTTGACCTCCTATGTCGTAGCAGTGTAGTCTTCAGGTGCAGTGCACACAATTCCCGATATTCCCAAGCGCAGAGCTTCAATTTCTAAGTGCAAAATTCTGCAGACAGATGGCGACTTATGCTCTTGTAGGTCACTTACATTTGCCACAATTAAATTTCATGTTAGAGCGAGCAGTAAGCAATCCTTTTGAGCCTTATATATAAAGAATGTCAGCTATCACTAGACCTTTTCTCTATTTTCCCATCTTTATAGGGAAGCAAAAGTTCACTTTCTGTCATTATTGTGTCAAATGCAAATTTAAATCCAAGTCATTCAAAGTTAAAAAGATCATATCAAAGCAAGCCAAGGACTAAAACAAGAGCACTGTGAGAGCCTATCAGAGAAATGTGGACAGCACAGTATACGCAGATCAGCTGCATGATAAAAGGAGAACCTATGTCTATGGACCAGTCGTACATGGAGATAAGGCTTTTGGACTGGAGAACCAAATTTTCTAGTGAGAACTCCTTGCCTACCTGGGCTCCTTCCCTCGGCATTCTAGTAAATTGCTGATGTTTAGTTTTCTGAGATAACATGTGCAGTGCACAGGGTGGGTTGATGACTATCTGTTGAGCCAATTACTGGTTGCCTAGTTTCCTCCCTGGGTAAAGGGTACAGCCTTGGTTTTCAGTCAGCTGTAAAATACAATACTAATTTGGTCACTTTCAAGATGTGACACTAGTCACCAGTCTTGTTTTAAACTATAGAAACCATCCATTGTTGGTTAACTGAGGAGTCTGTGTTTTTTGGAAGGTTGCCATGTAGCTCAGAAAACTGCCAGGAAGCCTGGAGGACCAGTCGTCAGAAGGGCAGTGGAAACCAACGTCACTGTGTGTGTGTGTGTGAGAGAGAGAGAGAGAGAGAGAGAGAGAGAGAGAGAGAACCTTGCCTGCCAGAATCAGTGTTGCTGATGCTCTTCCTCAGCAGCCAGAGTGTGTGAGTTTGTCACTGGCTGGGGCCATGTGCCCTTGTCCTCATGCCTAGACAGCAGCTGCAGGAGGACCTCCCCTCGGCCTGACCTCCACATTCGGAGGCAGGACACCTTCCACGGAAACCACCAGACGTGGAGTGGAATCTCTATTGAGGGAGTCAGGGGGTTAAAATGGCAAATGGATGCCCAGTGCTAACCCTGGCTCATACCTGGAAAATGTCACAATTGCTTTTTACCATAATTTAGAAACATTTTCCAGGACTACGGTGATGAATTAATAAAAAATTTAACATTTGGCATTTTCTTGCTTCTAAGACTACTGTGGTTATTAATTGATTGTTGCTTGAATAATTATTGTTGTAGGATAAAACAACATATGACATTATTCATGTGTGTGCATTGACATACATTCTTTTTTTTTTTTTTTAATGTATTTGGCTCTTGCAGACTCTGACCATATTCAGAATATGCACGGTCTCACTATGCAGCTCGGACTCCTGGTGATCCTCCTGCTTTCAGCCTCCCCAGCACTGGGATTACAGGCATGTGCCACTATGCCTGGGGGGAGGGGCTGGCATGGCATGTGGTGTCAGGGATCGAACC